ACCGACCTCAGGGTTATTGTGAAGGATAAATAAATTAGTAATGTGAAATCCCTAGAATAGTAAGGCCACAGTATGGGTTGTTACTCTTTTTAAGGAAAATGTTGCCAATTATAAATCACTGCATGTCAGTCCTTTGGTTCAAATCTCTCAACGGCCCAGAGCACGTGGAACACCCTTCATATCAGGCTTGAGAACCCTGCAGTGTATTGCTGTCTGCCTCCCCTGTCTCTACTCTCAAAACTTCTGTCTTTGCTCAACATAGTCAAGCCATCCTTGCCCTCCACCAGTTCATGACACACGCCAAGTCCTCTTTCATCTCAGGGTCATTGCACAACTCTCTCTCAGCCAGCCATGTTCTCGCCTACCCCAGCCAATCTTTCTCTTTGCATACACCCCATGTCAGCTTCAATGTCACCTCCTCAGAAAGGCCTCTCTTCTTTGTGTCCACCTTTTCTTCTTGTTTCATCAACAACTTTACTGAGATATGATTTATATACCATAACAGTTTCATTCCATAAAATTCATGCATAGCTGGGAGATGGGGCACCATCCCTATCTTAATCTCCATCAGCAACTGACTTATATCCCTGGGGTACCACAGGATGCTTGCTACACAACACAGCTTTGGGGCAAATCTTTGAGCCTCTCTTCCAACCTGATTCATGTGCCAACCATAGCCCTCTCCATTACTGACATTCTCACATCATCATCTCCTATAGAGGATGAGATGATAAATGATCTCTGGTGTTTTCTATTTTGATTTCCTTTGTTTTCTATTTCTTCCTAATAAAACATATATTTCTTTGCTTTTTTTTCTAAGTAATACAGATGAGTTAATGAGAAGAAGGAACTTGTGGAAATCCTTATGGGGTCAAGTAGAGAAATCAGGCAACCATATGAGCAAAGGGGGTGGAAACAGGAAAAGATGTCATTAGCTGGACATTGTATAGACTGTTACCCACATGGGACAGCTTCCAGTAACACCAAAAGGACTTGCAGTCCCCCCAATTATCCTTCTATTAGCTTTGAAGCTGATGTGTGAAATCCCACCTTATTTATTAGAGTGAAGGCATTAAGAGTCTCTAATGGAATACATATGGGAAGCTAAGTGATGATTGGTCATTATCCACTTTGTACAAATTAATTTGTAAGACTCTTCCCACTTACTTTGTGGGGTCCTGGAGGAACAGGACCCAGGGTAGCTAGTTTTTGTTGAAAAGGCATGATGATAAAGATTTGAACTCCTGGAAACATGCAGGGACAGTCAGCTACACAGTAAATTCAGGGGAAAATACTGATCTTAGGTGAGGATCAAAAGGAAATGGAGAAAGAGGTAAAGAGCTAGCCCCGCCCACAATCCCAACATAGTACAAAACCTCATACTTGGATTATGCTTTTCTGTGTTGTTTCATGTGGGTGGACTCATATTGTTTTATTAGAATCAGAACCCAGATTGCAAAAAGAGTCAGTGAATGGTAACCTTACAAGAGAACTTTAAAAAAATAATAATCATTACATTTGTTGTGCACATAGTATGTGTCATAATATATTTTGCATATATTATCTCTCTTAATGTCTTATGATACATTTCTGAGATTGCTAGTAGTATAATTTAGAAAATTAAGGCATAGGATGATTAGGAAGATTTCCTCAAGTCATAAGACCAACAGTGGAGAATTTGAATTCAAATATGTTTGACCCCAATTTTCTTCCTGTTTCCTTCCCTGAGGCCAGTAGGGATGCATCTCTCTGATGTCTCCTTTTGCTTCCAGCTAAAGAAAATGCTTTGCTTTTAAAAGGATCACCTGATTGTATCAAGCCTACCCGAGACAGATAATCTCTAGCTTAAGGTCAACTAGTTTGAGCTATTACTTACATCTGCAAAATCCCTTAAGTGCAGCAGCTAGATTAGTTTTTGAACAAACACGAGATGGGGATTGTGGGAGACCATCTTTTGAATTTCACCTACCACATATAGTCTTTCAAACTGTTGGATTGATGATAATTGAACTAATTTTTATGTGACCTAAAATGATACTTCTTTTGACAGAGAATCAATTAATACTTGTAAACGCTAAAACTAATACACGGGTGTTAAGCATCACTAGCATCCTATTTGCAAAAAAAAAAAACAAAAAACCTCTTCATTTCCTTCATCTTATTTCTCCATCATGGCTCTTTGGGTTATAATGCTAGGTTGTTTCGTCACACATTTTTTGAAGTTCGCAATTTGTTTGTAGTTCAAAGGAAATGTCACTTCCCACCTCCCAATTTTTAATAATGCAAAATATTCTCTAACTGTTTCTGGATAAAAACACAGTTGACAGAAAAAAAAATCTTTTCACTCAATAAAGGAAAACAGTGAATTAATGAGTATTTAGTTTAATTTTTTTAAAGAACGGAGTATTGGCAGATCCGAAGTTGACAAAAATTATTCTGGTCCAATTTGTGGATCAAATGCAAATAGCCCCTTCTTTGCCTCTTTCTAATGGATTGCAATTGAAATGTTACATTTTCACTTTAGACTGACAGAAAAAAAACACCCAGCAATATGCTGAGGCCAAAAATTATGGCTGGAACCTCTAAGTAAGTCATTTTATAACAGCTTTGTTCCCTGGATGCTGGCTTATCAAAAATGCCCAGGATCTTATTGAAGTGAACTATTCTAATGAAAACGACTGGGTGAGCAGACATTGCTCTAAGCAACAATGGGTTCCCAGTCTCTCTTCCGCTTTCACGTGGGAAAAACTTGAAGTTTCATGGTGACCACAGAGTATGATCATATTCAGAGAAATCCAGGATTTTCCAGGTGGGATATTAGCAGAATAGACAAAACCTGTTTTGTCTTTGTGAAAAACTGTTGTAGTTTCCAAGGACTACAAAAGCCCTCAGTATCAACCACTTACTCATTTAGATGACAAGTATATTGATTGCCTTAAAGGGGCTGGGCACTGTCCTAGGCCCTGCAGAAAGAGCAGAGAATGGGATGAGATAAAAATTCCTGGCTTGTTGGAGGCTCTGTAAGAAAGGCTTTGACCGAGCCAGGGGAATGCTGTGTTAAACGTATCACACAGGAGGCCCTGTCATGATCAAACTTGCAGCCAGACGGATATGCTTCACAGGGGCATGTACCTGGGGTTGGAATCCTTGAATAGTTTCAAGCCTGACACTGACGGACAAACACCCCAACATTCTCGCAAACTGATGGAGGCGAAGCATTTCCTCGGGACTGCACCACCCTGGAGATCCCGTCCCATCTCTGATTTCACTTACTTCCTCCAGATCGATTTTCTTCCCTCAAAATGGTATGGCGGAGTGGCACTGAGACGTGGGAGGGCATTGATCTCCTCTGCTGAGAACCACTTCCTGCCTGAAGTGAAACCAGTTACGGCAGGCTGAGTAATGGCCCTGAAAAGGCCCACGTCCTGATCCCCAGAACCTGTGAACGCTTCCTGTACATGGTAAGAGAGACTCTGCCGACTGGAGCAGATCAAGGATCCTGAGATCGGAGAGATGAGTTTGGATTATCCAGGTGGGTTCTTAGAGGAGGGGGGCAGGTGGGCCAGAGCCATTAAGAGGAGAGATGAGGACAGAGGTTAGAGTAATTTGAGGATGGGGCTGTGAGCTGGGAAATGTGGGGCAGCCCCCCAGAAGCTGAAAAAACAGGGAAACAGATTCTCCCCTGGAGCCTCCAGAAGGAAGCAGCCTTGCTGACGCCTTATTTTATCCCAGAGAGACGGAGTGGGACTCTCAGGCCTCCAGAACTATAAGATGGTCCTTCTGCATTGTTTTAAGCCGCTCCTGTTTGTGGTCATTTGCTACAACAGCAGTAGAAATGGACACATCATTGAAGTTGCCTTAAAACTGTATGTCCGGTCACTTAATAATCTCAGAGGAGAACAGGTCTAGCCACTTCCAGACTTCAGCTGGGAAGGCCACTCTAGTGTTAGAAGGCTTCGGCCTGTCTCCTATCAGAGTGGCTCGTACCTAAAAGATGAGCCACACTATGTGTCAGGCACTGTTCTTTCTGCCTGGCAGATACATTATTAACTAATTTAGTCCTCAAAAAAGCTCTTTAAGGTAGGACTGTCATTCTGCCATTCTGTCCATGAGAAAACCGTCCAGTTTCCCTGCTCATGATGCAGGGGTGGAGGTGGGGAGCTAAAAACATAGGAGTGTGGCCCCTGGGTCCATGTTCTGCTCTGTCTGCTGCCTTGAGATCACCCCTAGCCACACTGTCCAGCCAGGCTTGGCAGAGGGATTGAATCTTTGTGCAAAGCCAGAAGTTGCTTAGAATAAAGGAGAGTGAAGCTGGCCAGGTCATTTTGCTGAGTTAAACCGCTTTTGATCTATGATGAAGTGTAATTATAATGATTATAATCTCGTTATCTTGCTATCCTTGTGGGGCTCATCAGACAGCTCCTGGAGAAATTTTGCAAAAATCTTTGCAGTCATGGCAGCCATGTTGGAATAAATGTTTCCTCCTCCTCGGGGACTCTGAAGAAAACATCTATTTAGTATGGACAACTTACATCTTTCCTAAGAGAAGAAACATTTGGGTAAACGAAGTAAAGAATACATGAAACAAAACCCCCAAACCAAGGAGTTTTTTTTTTTTTTCACAGTTTTGAGGATTCTGTCTTTGCAACTCGCTCACAGGTTGCCCTCTGTGATTCACCTGGTGACTGGTGGACTCTCTGCTTGTATCCTAAGCACATACCTCCCCATAGATCTGGATTTGGACAAAGAGGCAGTCATAAGCATCGCCTTTAGATACCGTGTTTCCAAGGGCAGGTGCGCTGGGGGAAAAGTCCATAGACACTCCCACAAGGTCAAGGTGTACCTCTCCTGAAGTCTGAAATCCCCACGCGATGACCCTGGTAGTTGCTACGTTCCTTCATCTTAACCGAAGATAGTCGCCGTCCTGCCTCCTTGTGCCTCCTGGCAGAAGCCAAGCGACCAAATTCCACTCAAGAGCCCAGGCAGGAAGTGGTCATCAGCCCCTGGCTGGGTTGGCTCTTTGTCACCAGGAACGTCCTAAGCTACCTTCCACTAGCCCTAGAGGAGTTTTCTATGCAAAGCTTCACAAGCACAATAAGATATTTACTGTCTTTATCGGAGAGATCAAACCCGCACACAGATGTCACATTTCTCAAATTCCATCAGTAGATCAGACAAGCCGTCTCTGGAAAGAGGACATTCCAGCCGGCAAGTTCAGAGCGCGCTGGCTTCCAGGGCCGTTCCCTTCCTATTTTCTGTCGTGCACCCTGAGCCTTTGTTGTCTCTGCAATGCTGATAAATCAATCCATCAAAAAATTTCCTCAGTGAAACTCAATCAAGAAAGGTCATGTCAGCGGGAGAGGAACAGATTAAATTAGCATCAAATTAGACATGGAAAGTGAGTTCTGTCAAAATCATCGCAGCGCTCAGCACAATTAGAATATGTTAATTATGCATTTCATTAAGGTGGATGTGAGATGAAATGTCACTGGGGTAGGCATCCGAAAAAGGGAAGATTGCCAGGCACAACTTTCTCTAGACAATGTGTGACACCTTCATTAACATCAAGAATCACAAGTCTGCCTTGACTTTTTCTGTAAAGGATTAAACCATTAACTGTTTGCTGGCTCCTCTCATTTGTGCGGGGGTCCCTGTCCTCCAAGGGGGCCGGCCCCTCCTGAGTGACTGTCTTGCTCTGCCACCGCCATGGCCCCAGGGGCTGCTGGGAGTGCCCGGTGGGCACTGGAGAGGGTGGCGGGTTTTAATGAACTCCCTGCAAGCTTCTGGGGATCACGCCACTGTCTTAGGGGTGGCAGGGTGCTGAGAAATGAGGGGTGAGGATTACAGAGGGAGGGGAGGAGGGGCAGGGGGAGGCTCTTGGCTTCATTCTTGGGGATGAAAGATATAATCAACGTCATGGGGGGCGGGCAGGGGGATCAGATTTACAAACTTACACCCGGCAAACTCTAATTTGGTGAATTATTTCGCAGATCACTCTCTGAGTCACGGCAACCAGGAGGCATTCTCCCGGAGTGAAGTAGTTCCTCGTGAGGCAGCTTCATAAAATCCTCGTTAGATGCTTCCAGTGGTAGGAGTTTTCACCTGGGCTGTCTCCTTCTGTGCTTTCTTCAACCCTGCTTCGGTTGGCCTCCACCGGGGGAGAGACGGGGCCCGTCCCCAGTGTGGGTTATTCCCCTGACGTTTGCCCACTCAGCCCCCTTTTCCAGGTGTCTGGAGGCAATGCCCATCTGCGGGGGTTTCCAGTCACCTCCTGTGGAATGTTCTCTCACTCGTACTGCCCCTCGCTGGACCCCCTCACTTTCCACCTGCCCACCCCGTTCCCGACACCCTCACACCCACCGAAACATTCATGAACGCTAGGCTGCACAGCTCTTCTGCTATTTCCTCCAATCTCAAGTGAAAAACACAGCTTCTTGCAATGTTGTTCCTGACTCCTGGCCTCGGATCACCATTAGATGCCTTTTTTGTTCCCCTGGGGCCCTGTGCTTCCTTGAAGTCACCAGAATCAGTTTGTGTCGCTTGCAGGACAGTAACTGTAACACAACACACTCAGACTTTCCTACTTCTTCCCAGAAACGAATTATCCATCTACCCACTACTTGGTAAGTTCTTTCTCTGTCTCTCCATATTTTAAATCTCTCTTTCCTGATATGTAGAATGTATTCATCAAATTATCTTTAGAAAAAATGAATGCTCAGGTTACAGAATTTTACCATGACCTAAGTTCTATTTTTTATAGGTAGGAGAGAAAGCGAAAGTTACAAACTTTATTTCTAGCCTTTCTCAATAGGGCTGTTTTTGTCATATTAAATTAATACATACACATCAATATATACCCATTTCTAACATAGCCAGTTGGAATTTGTTTTCTCTAATGCTTAGTGTTAAATATAGTGTATGACATACTTCACTGCTCCCATTTTTTCCCACTCGAATGTCAAGGATGTTATCCTGTGAATTTACCTGATTTTCTTTCCCTCCACTTCCTCCCGGCCCACCCCTCCTTTTCTTTGCTCTCTTTCTCGTCCTCTCATCTCTCTATAACAAAATCAATGATCAGCTCCAGGTTTCTAACCAAACTTATAAGGCAATCCCTTTTAAATCCAAATTCTTTGGGGGGGGTGGTTTGCGCAGTGGAAAATAACCTTACTCTCAACTCTAATGACCAAACAGACAGGATGATCTACTAAGCCGTAGGATGGCTTTGGGTGACGCTGTTTTCTTCCTCTTGGTAATGTGAGCATAACCTTCTTCGTGGTGTGCATTAATTGGGAGAATACAGGCAAAATGCAAAGGCTGGAATCTAGCACATAATAAATCCCCAGTAAGTGAGAGTGGTGATGAGAAAGGAAGATGATGAGGATAAGAATGGCGTGCTGGCATCCCCAAGCTCAGGAGCCGGCCCAGAGTCCTATTCCGAAAACATCGCATCAGCACAAATATCTTAATTTACAGGGAGAAAAGACAGTGTTGCCTACAATTGCCCACTTTAAATTTTGCATGAGAACAAGGAGACACGCGGGGGATTGGGACCCTCTGGCAGAGACACTCCAGAGCTGTGGGGTTCTGGAGAGAGACTTTGCCCTGTGCCAAAGGCCCAGAGGAATTCCAAGGAAACCGACAATGGAAGTACACAGTCTTGCTGGAGCCCAGGATGGGCATTGATGCCCCTCTCCCCAAGCTGTCTGGTTTTCTGAGCTTCATTTAATTTCTAGATCACCTGGGGCCCAGGCTGTTAGAAAGGGGAGGACAGTGGAAATTACTCATGAGCTGGCTCTGATTTGACGAAGCCAACTGCCTCACCTTGTGGCAAGAGCGAGCGGAAGGGGAGGAGGGAGGGTGCTTTCCCGCCTGGGTACAAAGCTTCCTCCTAGCCTGCCTAGCCTTCTAGCTTCATTGTCAGCACTGCCATTGATATTAAAATCAAGGGGTTGGCATAAAGCTCGTGGTAGCACTGGCAGAATTCCAGGCTTGCTCTAATGAGCCTCACCTGGGCTAATTACATTTTTCACAAACCCCCGCCGGAGAGGTTGGAGTTGCCAATTGGTCGTCCAGAATGATAGCGACTGGGATTTCTCAGCTCTGAGATTTCTTTCTATCTGCTGGCAGTCGGAGCTCCAGAGGGCCAGAAAGTGACCTGAGGAACTCTGGCTACTACCTTCGTAGGGCACATGGTAGTTACCTTATTTGTTCCAGAAAGAAAAGTGATCTGTAAAGTGGGAGGAGGGGGTCCTCCTTCTGGCTACTCGGAGGATGGGCTCGCCTGTCATCTTATTGTACGCAGGGAATCAGAATCTGTGCTTCCAACAAGATCCTTAGGTGATGGATGTGTACCGTTAGGTGTGAAAAACCCCAGTCAGAGGGGTCAGACAGCTTGCCCAAGCTGACACAGAATCAGGACCTACCCCACATCTGCCCATCTCCTAAACACGGTGGTTTTCCAAATTACCCTAGTCCACCTCCTATAGGTCTGCAGGACAGAGGACAGAGATCAGAGGGTAGGAGGCACCGTTGTTGTACCATGGGGGCTCGAGAAGGAGTAGTTACCACAACCTGGGAGAGGAAGTCAGAGAGGACTTCCTGGAAGAGAGAGAATGTAAGTGGAGACCTACAGGCTACATGGGGATCCTTCCCAGAAGCCCACCAGCACAATTTCCCTCATGCCTTTCCCACTGTGTTTTTTCCCTCTGCACATACACTTCTGCCGGGGTCTGTGGGGAGGATGGTGATGTGTGGCCCATAGCCTTTGGTGGGATAATGCTTTTGAAAAATCTCCTCGGCTCTTCCCAGCATTCCTGTATTGGCTGCTTTTCCCTCAACCAGGCATCAGCTACTCACGATCACACCAAAACTACAACGGAAGGAATTTGAGTTTAACAAAGGTGGGTTTCACCAACCCATGCTTCCTGAGGCAGTTCGGGAACAAGACAAGATGTGATTACAGAGCAAGTCTCCCTACTGGACATGACAGGATAAGCTTGTCGACGGGGGGCAGAGGAGACCTGGGGGAAACTAGGCAGTCAAATGCGGCCAGGTGTCCCTGGGAGAAAGTCTGACAATTTCAAGGGGACTCAGGAGTAGTGACAACCTGCACCTTTTCCCCAGCAGCACCTAGGAATGCTGTGAGTCCCTCGAGATGGCCTGGGCTCCAATGCCCTGGGGAAAGGGCTGGAAAGCCAGCCAAATGGCTGAGAGGAGTGGGTGATCAGGCATCTGGGCCTAGGGGGTGGGGTCCCTCAGGACCGGGGTCCCCCCAGGCCCATGGTCATGGGTAGTTGACCTGGGCAGTCACACACGGCTCTGCGTGTCTGGATGAATACCGTCTAGAAAGTCCTAGCACTTTCTGAACCAAGGGCCCCACATTTTCGTCTTGCAATAGGCCACGCATGGTGTAGCTGGTTGTGGCTGCCTGACAGGGTGCCCGTGTGCCCCAGGGGGAGACTGTCACAGCCACCACAAGTCTGAGGGGGGTGGGTAAATGCGAGGAGACCTTATAGAGTTCACAGTGACCAGAAGACCTGTGAGAGCTTGAGGCCACCACATGCCAGCTCCCTGAAGGACCCCTCTTCCCCCGCCTGCTCCTACCCACCCCCTGTTTCAGCTGTGTCCCTCAGGAACGGGGAGGAGTCCTGAACTGACCAGGAATAAGTCTTTGCCCCTGGGACAGACTTGAAACTGACATTGAGTCTTCAGGTGGAGAGTGTTCGAGGAAGTCGCATTTCTTCCACACTTGAGTTTGTGGACTGGTGGTGAGAGTTTTACCTGTCGCAGGTGTAGCTTGACTCCTTTGGTGACTAAGCTGGGCTTACTTCTTGTTTCTGTCTTCTGGTCTTCCTGCCGGTGATTCAGAGGGGAAGAATCTGGAATTCACTCCCGTAAGCCCCTGCACTGGCCAGTACATTCCCACGTTGCTACAACAGTTTCATCGGTGGCTCTGATTACAGGCAGCGCTGGCCTGGCTCCTGGTGACCTGGTGACCTCGTGTGGCCCTTGGGAACACCTGCGAATCAAGGCCTACAGAGACTGGGGTGGGGGGGACCCTCTCACCCTCAGTGCAGCTGACATGTGGAGCTGGGTGGCTCTTTGCTGGGGGCTGCTCTGTTCACTGTATGACCTCAGGCAGCGGCTCCAGCCTCTATCCACTGGATGTTAGTAGCCCCCCCTCCATCATGACCACCAAGAATGCCTCACGCATTGCCAGCTGTTGCCTCAGGGGCAAAATTGCCCCCGGTGACTTCAAATCCACCATGGCCAATTACCACGCAGTGACCCAGAATAAATTATTTAACCATAAAGGGCCCGCATCACTCTCTTCGGAAAAAGAGGTAGTAATCGGTTTTACTGTTCATTCTTGTGGTTTGGATCCAATGAAGTCTCCTAGGAGGGTTTCCCTGTGATAGCAAAGGGGCCTCCCGGGTGTTTCTCTATGCTGGCCCAGCCCCATGTTCTAGATGAAGGACATTAAGACTGGGCGGGGCTAAGAGATTTCCTGCAACCTAGGCTCATCGCTCTTTTTATAATAAAATCCTTCAATGTGACATGGGAAGAACTGTGAAAACATTCTCTCCCTTGGGGAAGTGACAAATACAAGGAGAACATTTCCGTGTTTGAGGAATGCCGACCGTGAAGATCTCTGTGGGAACCCATTTGGCCGCGTGGCCACACTGTGATGCAGACAGACGTGTGCCTCCTTTCCAGGCGAGGACATGGAGGGTCCGAGAAAGAGGCTCCCTACCGTTCCCAGGATCCCACCTGGAGCTCCACGAGCGGTGGGGCCCTGGGCCTGTGATTTCGCCCAGTGAAGCCTGGAGGGGCCGCACTCTGCTGGAGACGTCCCGGGCGACCTCCCCTTGTCTGCTCCAGCAAACCGCCCGTCCTATTACTTATTTAATATTTTTCTTTAAGTGGATTTACTTTTTGGCTTAAATATTTTAAAAGGCATTTTGCGCCTCTCCTCTAAATTGAAAAGCCTTTTCGGCAGCCTCGCTCGGAAAGGAAATGAGTAGTTGGTGTTAGGAGCCAAAGTTATTTATCTTTGGTAAATGATGAACAAGAATCGAATCTGGCTGGCACGTGGCTGTTTGGCCTCTTATACTCATTAAATGTCCAATAAGTAGGTCGCGCAACACCCTGTGGGTTGGCTCATCCAAATCCATTCCCTGTCCATTTCCTTATATACACCCTCCCATAGAGGCCGAAAAACGAATTCTTCACCTCCGGCCTCCTTTGCAGCTGGGACTGATCATGCACCAGTGAGGCGTATGGGGCATGGAGTTCTTCCCTGATTAAAAAGGCAAACTTGCTGGGAGATTTGCTGTCATCCACTCTTTCTTTGTGATGGCTAGTTTTGTAGGTCAGCTTGGGTAGGCTCTGGTCCTTAGTTTTTCAAACGTTTGTCAAAGTGTTGCTGTGGGGGTATTTTGTTGATGTGATGGAATTCCATAAGCGGTCGATTTTTTTTAAATAAAAGAGGTTATCCATGATAATGTGGGTGGGCCTCGTCCAATCAGTTGAAGACTTTAAGAACTGCTTCAGCTCTTGTCTGAGAGTTTCCAGCCTGCTGGCTTGCCCTGCAAATTTCAGACGTGGCCAGCCAGACTCACAATCGCATAAGCCAATTCTTTAAAGGAACCAAGTAAGTGAATAAATAATCCCACTGTCATGGGGATATATATATATCTCCATTCCTCTCATTTTGTTTTTCTAGCAGAAGATATACTCTTCTGCCACCTTGTTGCAGAGGGGACATGAGATGCATCCGCCATCTTGCTGCCATGTGAGTGACAAACATGCAGATAAGGCATTGATGTTAAGCCTGATGGAGCAGAAAGTTTTAGAAGGAACAAGGGTTGATGATTGCTTCACTGCGGTTACCTACCATCTGGTCAGCCTACCTCCAGGCATCTTAATGCGTCTGAAATCAGAATGCATCTTCTGATCAATGATCTCTTACAATTAATTGTCAGCATTGCTTTTGTACTTTTCTTCCCCCCTTGGGGATCCGTAAATAACGACACATCTTAACAACGAGTGGCATCCTTGATTCAATAAACTATGGTAAATGTAAGCCAAGTACTGACTTGATTTAAGCTATTATATATTTTGGAGTGGACAACATGCATGCCCTTGATCTCTTTGGCCTTGACTATGGAATCACCATGGAAAGGAATTGGGAAAATCAGCATTCAGCAACTACACAAGCAAACCTCTCTGCTCCCTACACTTTGTCTTTTCTCCTGCAGTCAGCCGCTGTGTCACAAAGTGGTCACAGGCTCAACCTTGGATTGCTTAACGAAGGTTTCTTTGCAAACAAACAGAATCCTCCATATACTTGCATTTTACCTGATGAGAAATAAAAGCTTTCTTAAATCCTGTCCCTTCTCACCCCACCAAATCCACTTTTCTAACTTAATGCAGGTTGAAATGAGTTTTTTTTTTTAAACTGATGAAAATATTATAGGAATTAAAAACCAAACCCATTAATATCCTGATTAAACGCCCCATGTTAATTGCGGATTCTTTCCGGCGACAGAGCAGGTCACTGTCTGGGCTTAATGCGATAGCAGGGTTTAATAAGAGAAGCCTGTAGGAGCGGCCATTTGTAGCAGAAACTTCTGTTGCCTGGCAGATGAGGCTGGGAAGTGATTTTCCTTTCTCACGCTTGTGCAAAGTAACAACAGGTACTGAGAGCTGCCTCTGGGGAAGGGGAGCCAGATTGGAGGAAGAGAACCAGGGGGCCCGGTTATTATTATTATTATTATTACTTTTTCCCCAACGTCCTTCCTGGAAACCTTCATAGAGATTTTCCTTTCCCTCTCCTGCACTTCCAGGAGAATGGTTGAGAGGATTCTCCCATGAAAACAAGCAAACAGACAACAGGACACAATTTTGATAACCAAAGAAGTTTCTGGGATCCCTGTCGCTGAAATGCCTTCCTCCTTTACCCAGGGGTCTAGGGCAGGGGCAGAACCAAACAGGTACGGTGCCCGGAGAGGGAACACGCAGGGCTGAGTGGGGAAGGTGTCACACTGGAGAAGCATCCTGTGTTGATGGACAGAGCTGATGGAGACTTTCTTTTTCTGTTGCCCAAGCTCTGTGTTTAGAACAGGGCATTAAGGACGGCACGTGATGAAATGAGCACTGGGTGTTATATGCAACTGATGAATCATTAAATTCTACCCCCAAAACTAATAATACAGTATATGTTACCTAAATTGACTTTAAATAAAAAATTAAATTAAAAAAAAAACCACAACAGTGTCTGAACACCGCTCTTCGCCTACACGGTGTACACTTCCGTCCTGGGGTGGGGGGTAGCTCAGCCCCCGTGTTCATCAACCACATCGGGGGCTCAGTGTAGCGCAGGGAGTTTCTGATGCAGCTGGTCTCTGGGGAGGCCAAGGGTTGGCTTTTGAACAGGTGGTGCTGATGCTGCTCATTTGGGAACACACTTAGGGAACGACTGGCTCACCCATGACCACCTCTCACCTGGGCTGTCCTGTAGCCTCCCAACTGGTCTCCTGGGGTCTACCCTACCCACTTACAGTCTATCTTCACTGGTGGCCACAGCTCATTCAGGCCTCCTGGCTCCCCCTGGGTCCCAGAAAGGACCAAGTGCCTCACTCCTGTCTGCTTTTCCAGCACAGTGACCCCTGGAGTCCAAGAGAGGATTCATGTCTTTCACGGGCTTCTTGCTGCTAAGTTGCTATCTCCCGTTCAAGTTGCTCTATTAAATTTTCTTAATCAAACTGCCTTATAGTTTGGGCTTCTCCCATAGCTTTTAAAAAAAATTATTATTATTTTATTATTTTTTAAGCTGTATTACCCTTCCCTACCTACAATATTTGTACATTTTCTAAAGACCTATGTAACCTATGCCCATGAACCCCGCCTCATTCAACACAAATACCAGTGCGTCCCAAATCCACGTGCACACTTGGTAATTCTAGCCAAAGGGAAACGTGCTCTAATGCAGTAACAATTCATAACAAGCCCAGGTGAGGTGTTTCTCTCTCTCTGACCCAATTTGCCAGAAACCCTGGCATCTTTTCTTCTTAGCTGTTGAGCTTGAGGACTCCATCCCTCGCAAAGTGTTTTACGTCGACACCAGGCACATGGCGGGAAGGGATGGGGAAGGAGCCCTCTATACTTCAGACGAATCCCAGACAGATGTCAGATAAACATATTTGAATAAACCAAATGTCACTTTTCTCTTTAATCGCTGGCTTCAGAGGAGCTGAGACTTTTCTGGACCTTATCAATGCGCTGTCATCTTTGATTCCCCAGTCATATTTCAGGCACCTTTTTTTTTTTTTTTTAAGTGTCAAGATGATGGGGAGGGTCAGGAGGGAGACAGTAGAAAGGATTACAAGTTTAGGTGCAAATAAAGCATAACCCCTCCAGAAGTTTTGGTCAGTGTGATCTGGGAATGTCTACTGGTTCTGATTTTTGTCCTGGATAATAGATCAGATCAGACTCCTGGGGATTTCTCAGGATACAGTAACGACAATCATGTTTCTTTCTCTTTACTGTCATATGGAGTCACTCTTAACTTTAAAGTCGTCATATTTCATGTCATTTTTATATTTAAAAAGTGTGTGTATCACCACAAAGGACTGCACGGAAACTGGTAAGATCTGAATGCACTCTGGTTTTGGT